CAACCCCTGGATATATTTTCTTTTTAGTAATACAGGGCGCCAACCCCTGGTTACATTTCCTTTTCAGCAATACAGGGCACCAACCCCTGGTTATATTTCTTTTCAGTAATACAGGGCGCCAACCCCTTGTTGCATCTCCTTTTCAGTAATACAGGGCGCCAACCCCTTGTTGCATCTCCTTTTCAGTAATACAGGGCGTCAACCCCTGGTTACATCTCCTTTTAGTAATACAGGACACCAACCCCTGGTTACATTTCCTTACCAGTATATGTATACCAATCACTGATATCCTTACCAGTATAGGGTACACCAATCCCTAGTTGTGTTCTCCAACACACACTCCCTAGTTGATTTGATTTTAAATGTAGGATACACCACTCCCTGATATCATTGCCAATATAGGGTATCTCATTCCCTGACCATATTTTCCCAATATAAGGTATACGAATGCTTAGTTGAGACATTCTTTTGGGACAATAAAAGAATACTATCAAAAAAAAAATTATTATGACCTTTTCAGGGTACACCATTCCCGATCTTTTATTACTTTTAATAAAGAAGTAGTTTAGAATTTTGTTACAATAACTCGCGAAATTTTTCTAGTGAAAACTGGGGTAGAAAAATTTCGTTTGTTTGTTTGTTGTGGTGTCTGAGCAGGTTTTATCTCGAGGCACATGGTTCGAGATGAACAAAAGAAGAAGTCTCAATCCAAAATATGTCTGAGCATGTTTTATCTCGAGAGAAGTGAATCCCAAATGCAGAAGCAGATGGAAAGGATATGGACTGCTCAAGACGACTGAAGTCACGAGCATTGGATTTCTCGTTTTGATTAGAAAAAGTCGTAGAAGAATGAACTAGCACCTGGAGCTAGCAAACATCAAGGTACAGATCAGATTCTGCATGAAGAACCACTCAAGAATCAAGATCAAGTTTTAGAAGACTTATAGATAGGAATCTTGTAACTCATAGCTGATAGGTTTGTTTAGTTTCTTTTGATTTTGATTTAATAACTGGACTACAAACCGGAGCCTCGACGGAACCTCACTCGACTCTCCAACTCAGCATTCCATCCTTTTTCTTGAACTACACACGGCGTAATTTCCTTATAACCCAGGATATGTGGGTTGTCCATAACCAATACTTGGTCACACTCTTTCCTCTTATCTCCTCCCTTTTGAATAATAGTATGGCAAAAAATTAGTCATATCGCTCATCTTTTCTATGCCAGAAAATTCTTCATGTTTTCAAGCAAAGAGGGGCATGCTGTGAGCACCTAATTTTTTACCGTGCTTGAATTTTTCCTACTCATCTCACCAATACCTCACTTCTCACTCCATCTTTCCCGCTCCCATCTTCCTACGCGTGTCTCCACTCCACTTTCTTTTGCTCCCCACTCTTTGTCCCCACTCTACTTTTTCTTGTCCCTCACTCCTTGTCCCCCATACTTGTCCCCCATAACAACCCCCCACATGTCCCTCTTTTAGAAAATACACACACACACACACACACACACACGAAAAATGGGGGGCTGAAAACAAAAGGAGTGAGGAGAAAAACAGGGGCGCCCTTTTCTTCTTAAAAAGGCCAAAATGCAGCAGCTGAGTCTGCCATGAGACTACCACAAAATATTCATTAAAAATACATCATCAACCATCAAAGCTTCATGGATTTTCCATCCATATTTAGCTCCAAATGCAGCTGAAAAATAACTTTTTTCCAGCAAAATATCAGCTGCGAAAATAGCCAAAAAGTGATAAAAACCAGTCCGAATCCCATCCCCGAAACACCTGTAAAAAAACCATGAAACATCCATGAAAATCAAGCCAAAACACGGCTGAAATTGCTGCCAAAACGCAGCAACACTTACCCATTTAAAACACGCGAGTTTCAGTCGAGGAGGCAAGTTCGCCGTTTCGTTTCGTTTGATGATCCAGTCCACTGTCAAGTTTGGTTAGTTTTCTTCCTTGTAACCCAACACTCAAGACTCTTTATTAATACAGTGAAAAGCTCTGGTCAACATAGGTCACTTTCTTCTTTGATTCACTTTTGGTTTAATATCAAGTTCTTGTTTAATCTTTTAGTACTTTATTTTGTTTAAATGTCTTTGATAGCTTATTAAATTATTTTCTTGCCTACGTTTGTTCAAGAACATCACTAGAATTTGTATGAGTTAAGATTTATATTCATGTGTTTACTTGATGGGTGGAAGTTACTGATTTGCATATTTTATCGCACTATTGAATTTCTTTGGTATGTAAAATAACTACTGAAGAAAAACAAATGAATGAATAAAGGAATTTCTAGTAAGCTCTAATCAAATAGGTTGTGGTTGTTTTGTTTGTTTTCTTCTTTTTCTTTTTCTTATTTTGTAAGCATATAGTTTTGGTTTAGTTTTTATACATGTAAAATAGGGAACATTCGAAGAAGACAGTAGTTGAGTTGGTATTGTGCCATGTGATTTATGGTGTATCAAGATGGACCATAGGTTTGCTTGGTGGAAATTAAAAGGTTACTTAGTTAACATTTGTTTTAGTTCATATAGTATGCCATGAATGTGATTTGATTAGCTAGTTGGATTTTTAGAGATGTTTGATTATGTTTGGAGTAGTTTGGGGATGATAGGATTCCAAAAAGATTTAGCCTTTTGTCTCCATTTATTTCATAATTATAATAGTCAAATCTTAACCCTTCCACAATGATCCCCATAAATCCTCGGCCTTAATCTCAAACTAGTTTAGGAAAATAACTCATAAATATCTCTAGTATGCTTTAGGCGCACAATAATAAATCAATTATCGTGATTATGTATACATTCACGTGACATAATTACGATTTCCAAAGTTAAAGGTAAGGTATGCGTTCGCGCAACTTTGACATAACAATTTTAATAATAATAAAAGTGTTATCAATTGTCTACACACATGTGTGGCATGATTTTTAATGCGCCAAATAAAATGGGTACACGTACGCGTGACTTGTTTTACGATAATTTCTTAATTACGAATAATCAAGTAATAAACGCGGATAAATAAAAATATGAAAATCAATAAATCACAGTTTGTCCAAAAAAAATAATATAAGTCAAATGTAGTCAATAAAGCGACCGTGCTAGAACCACGAGACTCGGGGAATGCCTTACACCTTCTCCCCGGTCAACAGAATTCCTTATCCGGACTTTATTTTCGCAGACCGATAATAAAAGAGTCAAATCTTCCTTTGAAATAGGGATTCAAATAAAAGGTGACTTCGAACACCTAAAAATTAAATTCCAAGTGGCGACTCTGAATAATAAATATTTCCTATTTAAAAATTATCACTTTAACTGAAAAAACTCTTTTATCCAACAAACATAATACACATCTTTTGGGGGGTAAAAAGGGGTATGACAGGCTTGATCCTCATCTTTAATTTCAGCATCTATATTACTCAAATTCATAAGAATGGAATCAAAGGTGTCAAGATGAGAGAGAATAGAGGTACTTTCACCCATACGAATTGTATAAAGCTTCTGCTTTTGGTAAAGTCTATTTTCCACCGTCCTCTTCATATATAAGGTTTTCAATTTTGTCCACATGCTTTTGGCTGTGGTTTTTACAGAAACTTCACGTAAAACCTCATTTGAAAGATTTAAAATGATACTTGCTTTTGCCTTTTTGTCTATGACGGTAAATTTTTCGTCCCTCATTTTATCCTGCTTCTTCTCCTTTCCTCGCAACGCCAAATCTAAGCCATCCTGAATTAGGATAGCTTCCATCTTTAATTGTCACATTCCGAAGTTTGCACTTCGATCAAATTTCTCAACATAAGTCTTTGTTAAAGTCATATTGGCTACTAAAATAAACCCGGTTAGATCCGGCTCTGATACCAATTTGTTAAGATCGAGAACCTGGGGTAGTGCGAAATTTAGCCAAACGACATTATAATGACAATAACAAAGACAATGCAAGTTGATAATAACGATAATTAAAGTAGATAAAGAAGACACCAATTTAACGTGGTTCGGTCAGTGTGACCTACGTCCACAAGCGGAGAAGAACAATTTCGCTATACCAATAAGAGTACAAAAGAGAGTACAAAATTAGAGTAAATACTCTAATTGATCCCAAATACCCTAAGAGAATAATCTCACAAGATCACTCAAAAGAAAGGGTTCACACAAGTGCTTCCCAACACTCAACTCTCATACAAAACACTCTTAATAAAGGAGTAAAGGAAGAAATAAGAAATGAAGACTCGGGTCTTGTTGGTGTGTTTAAAATGAATAATGTCATTTCTTTTTATAGGCAAAAAAGTCTAGGCCTCTTAGTTGTAAAAGAAAAGATACAACTTGTGCAAATGATATCCACCATACAATGCAATATTTTTGGGTCCCAAAGAATATTGCCAACAAAGTCTACACTTTGCAAATATGCTTATACTTATATGAGATGGACTCCATTAGCCAAAATATTGGCCATATTACAATACACATTGAGGATAAAATGAGAGAAGGTCGTTTGAGATGAGTTTGGTCATGTTCTGCTTCTACGTATGGATGCACCAGTCCGTACGTGTAAAATTGTGATGAGTGAAGATATTAAATGGACGGGATATACCTAAAATCAATTGAAAGAAAGTTATCTGGAGAGATTTATAATTTTCTGTAATCAAAACATACTTAGCTAAAAGTATGGCACAATAAAAGAAAAAAATCCATATGTATAATATTTATTAGTTGAGAATATATTTTATTTTTGTGGAGAACTTTTAAAATTATTATTAGTATATTTATTATTTATTTATATTTAATTTATTTTTATTAGTATGGTGATGATATCAATGCGAGAATTCATATAGGTCCACCCTACATGTTTGGGACTAACGTATCATAGTTGTTATTATTATTTGATATCGTTTTGGAATTTATTTAATTTAGATAAATCCGTCTTTATTGTTCTTACCCAACTTTACCTTTTTAAACATATAAATTTTCAAATAGTGTGTTGCCACCTTTTGTAGTTGACATATCAATATCCTTAACACGCTTAGAATCCACGTCTTTTCTTCACCATTTCCCACCTTTTCTTTTCTATATATCTTCAAATCTCTTCCTTCTTCACTTCAAGCTTGAATTCCACATTGCTCACAAAATCGATGTCGTTTGAAGACGAAGAGGAATCGTTGGAGCACACGCTCTTAGTAGTGCGTGAAGTAAATGTATACAAAATCCCTCCACGTCCGACAAGCGGCGGGTACAAATGCGGCGAGTGGCTTCAATCCGATAAGATCTGGTCGGGTCGACTCAGGGTCGTATCCTGTAAAGACAGGTGTGAGATCCGATTAGAGGATCCGAATTCCGGCGAGCTGTTCGCCGCTTGTTTCGTGCCGCCGGGCCAGAGAGAAAATTCGGTGGAATCGGTGCTCGATTCGTCGAGGTACTTCGTGTTGAAGATCGAGGACGGCAGGGGGAAGCACGCGTTCGTAGGGTTAGGGTTTGGGGAAAGGAATGAGGCGTTTGATTTCAATGTGGCGTTGTCGGATCATGAGAAGTACGTGAAGAGAGAGAGCGAGAAGTATGATGGTGATGATGAAGCTAGTGGTGATGGACATATTGATATTCATCCTGCTGTTAATCATCGATTAAAGGTATTGCATTTTGCTTAATGATGAATCAGACGTTTTAATTATGAGTTTACTTCTGTGGACTGACAGTAAAAAAAAATTGCACAATAAAAGGTTATTACATGTAACTCTATTTAATAGCATTGATTGCTAATCTGTACTAACTTGTCATAACTGTTAATTCGGTATATTCGACTTAAATTCTTTGATTGTGCATAGATCCAGGAGCTTAAGCCATTAATGCAGTGTAGCCTGCAAATATTATTATTATCATTATTTTTTATTATTTTAGGATATTAAGAGCATGTTTGGAAAGGCACCTAGGAATTGGATTTGAGTGTAATTGGAGAGGTGCAAACTTGCAATTACACTCTCCAATTTCATGGGAGGTGAGAATTGGTGGTAATTACATTTCTTTCCTCTTTATTTTAATTTTAATTTATTTTTTTATAACTTTTTATTTCCATTATTTTAATTTAATTTAATTTTAATTTTTTTATTTTATTTTTACTTTTAATTTTCTTTTTAAATTTTTAAATATATTTTCTTTGTACAATATTTATTTTTTATTTCTCTACCTTTACTTCTTGTGATTCCATGTAATTGCTTGTATATTTTATTTTTTATTTGTTTTATTTTCTTCATTTAGCGTAATTGTATTATTATTCTATTTTTTTCAAACTACACCTTCTAATATTAGATATAATGACTCGTTAACAAACTTGGCATATAATGAGTGATGTCATTAAAGTAAAATTTTGTTGTTGAATGAGGTTATAAACTTATTACGTTTCCTAATCTTAAGTTGTATTGGAACTTATTTTTATTATGTTGGAATTTGACATATGTTAAAGTTTTTTTTAGGGGAGGATTTTGAAATTGTGTTATATTTATGGTTTTAGTTTACTTGTTTTAGTAGTATTGGCTTGTTATTTCACATTGCATGCTGTTCATTTTTTAGTTAGAATTGATAGATTAGTTTTGTCAAATATTTTCATAATGTTATGAAATTATATTTATAAATATTAACGTATTTTATCAAACATGCATTCCATGATGTTCTTACAAAAAGTATGTTTTTAGTTTTTATAATTAATTAAACTAAATATTATTAATTTGGAAAATATATAGCAATTATTTTTACAATATTAGTTATAAATATATGATTACTAATTAGTGTATATTCAATAAAAAAATATGCATCTTAAATACCAAATGTAATATCATTTATACTTATAAAAATCATATGCATCTTAAATACCAAATCTAATACTCTGTATCATTTATACTTATAAAAGATCATTTATAAGCATATATTTATTATATTAACTTTTAAGTTCGATAATTACTTCATTTAAAATTTAATCTAATTGTGTAATTACACTTGTGCAACCAAACAATACGCTTGTAATTACACTGTAATTACCTTATGACAAACAAACAAGTCGTCATAATTACTAGGTTGTGTAATTACACCAATTTCAATTGCCGGTGACTTTCCAGACAGACCCTAAATGTCATGGGCAGATGTAGAGTGTAAGTTATGGATTCATCCGAACCCAACAAATTGGCTTGTTAAAAAGTTCACTAAATGAGTACAAATAATTGATTCTAGAACCCAGTAAATCAAATGAGTTTTGGTAGAATGCTGAACTCAAAACCATAAAGTTCAAATCCTGGATCCATCTTGTGAGGTTGAGTTTGTAGATCCGTCTATGATAATGACTTTATGTTTCTCTGGCAGTTAACTGTTAGTGTTAGGGCCTTAGTTTGCATCTGGTTATGGTGCGTCTGCAGAAACTAAATTTGTGATAATTTTTACTAAGCTAAATTTGACTGAATGTTAAGGTTGCAGCTTGACTTTGACTAGATACATTATGAAATATATGCAGCTTAGGTTGAAGTTGAAGGAATATATGATTCTGAGTAAACAGTCATCAAAACGGAAAAGAGGATATGAATCCTATGAGTGCAAAGAAGTTCCTTTTTTTCATTTTTGAAACTTGAATAGAGTGGAATAGATACAGAAAATTCATATAGCTAATCCCATCTAATTTATGATTGATATGTTGTTGATTGCTTGTTTTTTTGAAATGTTTTCTTGGAGGAGGGGGTGGTGGTGATTGAAAAGAACTAGCCCTCCTGTTAAAAATATGTGGTTTACATTTTAAATTGGATATATGCTTCAATACGTACTTGTTGAATTACTTCATAAGAGATTAAAAGTACGTTATGAGTAGAGTTTGGGAGCATCAAATTACTCGGATTGATTGGATTCTTAACCAATCTTATTCAGCTTATTGGATATTGAGTGCTTTGTCGTAAGTACAGGTTAAATATGACATCGTGTGAATATCTACTGGAAATTTGTTCCAGTGAGTTGGTTTTCTTTGTATGCAAATTACTCCATTTTCTGTATGACTTGCATTAATTGAGCCTTGTCTATATCATGGTTTCTATACCATTTAAAGGTGATTTATAGTTGGTGATTGTTTCACTCTATTCTTGTGTCATAGTGGATTGTCCTCGAATGCAGTCAGTTACTCAGTTATTCACCTAAATGAGTAACTCTGGGTAGTTTGGTTCCTAGGAAGGTGAAACTATCCGGATAAATGTGAAGAACAAACCATCTAGTGGAACGGGCATGCTTTCTGCCGCTGGTCAATCCAAGACCATTGCCATTGCGCCACCCCCTAGTGGAGCTAACAAGATCAGGTGTCCTCTTCCACCCCCGCCAAATGATCTGGCTATTTCGCAGAAGACTTCTAGCACTCCCCGTATTGCACTCAAGGGGCCAAAGGAAAGCTCAAGGCAATCCATTGATCCATTATCCAATCTCTCTCAACTTCAGGTATTTTACTTCATGCCTTTTATAACACTTCCTACTTATGTAGGTCTCTGCATATTGCTAAACCGTAAGTCCACTCCAGAAATCATTTGTTAATGCCCCTTTGGCCAATGGATAATTGCTCATATTTACCGTGATCAACCAAAACATGTCGGAGATTTTTGAAATTGTGTGTCTACTTCGTTTTGTTGTTGTTACCTACTCTAATCTAGATAACAGTTGTTTTGCAAATATTGAAGACAATCATTAGATATGGAAGGCTTGAAATAAAAGGTCGGTTACTGGTTGCCAGTGCTAGTTTCTGAGAGAAGTTGTTGAACTGTAGGCATAAATCATGTTGATCTATTCAAGGAAGAAAAACTGTGCATCTTAGCTGATGATTAGGTTACATGGGTTTGAATTCAACAGCTTTGGCATGTGTCGGTTTTGATTTATCTAACAACAACTACGCCTCAGCCTTCAACAAAGTTGGGGTCGGTGATATGAATCCTCACTTCTTTCTTTAAGCTCAACTCTTTTGATTTATCTAAACTTTGGTGATTTATGGGATATATATTCTTCAATTATTTGCTACAACTGCATCATGAGCAATTCTTTGATCTGAAAATGAGCAACATTTTAATAGCAGAATTTCCTTATTCGTGTTCGCAGAGGAGCCTTCCTTCAGCTGCCGGATCTGGACTGAATAAAACCACAGCAGCTGGATGGGCAGCATTTTGAGATTTTAAGCGTATGTTTAATATGGCTGAGATAGTGAGATATATGCTTGTTGTTATACTAGGGTAGAAAACTATGTATCCAAACTAAAAGGGTAGATTGGTGCACTAAGCTTTCGGTATGCACGGGATTCAGGGAAGGGCTGAACCACATTTGGTCTACTGTACAAACCTTACCTTGCATTTTTGCTAGAGGTTATTTCCACAGCTTGAACCCATGGCCTCGTGGTCACATGACGACAACTCTTAACTGTTGCGCCAAGCCTTCCTTGTTAAGAGAATGAAAGAAAAATTTCATGTTACTGTTTCCTCGGTTCTTTGGAAGATAAATTGTGATGGAGTGTATTTAAACTTGCTTAACCTGTCTGAATTGTACTTCTGTTCTACATCTAATAAAGAAAATATTTTATTTTGCAAACTTGTCCAAAGTGTTTTGGCTGAAGTAAGCTGTCATATTTTGCAATCATAGTCGTGTAGATGTGACTAAATTGCTCAAGTTTGTTTTCTGTCAAGTACACAAATGTTGCATTTAATTTGATTTGAGAATTTAGCTCAGGCTCCAGAGCTCTTGTGGCCTTTATTCTGATAGGGGAGTCACGGGTGGCGTGAAGTAGGGAATGAATCACATGTTTTATGACACTAATGATTGTGGGATGCATTGGATCCCTCCGTCTTTAACGAGAGATTTGGAGTTTGAGTTTTGGATTTGAAATTCTTTTCGGTAGGGCGAATATCGAGCGTCGGGTGGAGAACCAAAAAAATTCACATTGGTTATGAATGTTTACCCGTAAAATGAGACAATTGAATTGATACGTGGTTTCTAGACAAGTGAACTAATTTGATCCTGAAATAATGCGATAATTGAAGAAATGTATAATATATAGCCTTAAAATGTAGTAGATGAAACAACAGAGATGGCAGTTCTGGGAACAAGGTTTCCGGGTATAGCAATGATGAGATCAAAAAGCGGAAAAGTAAGATTGTATTAAGCTTTGTATAGAATGTAGTGTAAGTTTAGCTAGAAAACGTGATTAAGACTATTCCGAGTCCGGACCCTTTTATGTTGGAAGCTCCGTCCGTAAATAAGGTCCAAACCCCCGATGTCGATTCTGACACCATTGCTGCCTCTTTGGTTGCCATACGCAGTAGTCCCGGACTGAAATCGGCCACGAAATCGGCCAAGACTTGCGACTTAATTGCAGTTCTTAGTTTATATTCTATGTCGAACTCACTCATTTCGACGACCCATTTGGCTAATCTTCCCAAGAGCCCGGGTTTATGGAGGATGTTCTGCAAAGGAAAAGTAATCACCACAGCCATCAGGTGGCATTGGAAGTAGGGTCTAAGCTTCCGAGCGGCGACTACGAGAGCTAAGGCCAGTTTTTTCAAATGTGGGTAGCGAGTTTCTACTCCCGTTAAAATTTTGCTAACGTGATAAATGGGAAATTGCGTACCTTCGTCCTCCCGGACTAAAACTGCACTTACCGCAACTTCTGAAACCGCGGGGTAGACTAGTAATGTTTCACCTTCTTTTGGTTTTGAGAGCAATGGAGGGCTTGATAAGTACTTCTTCAGGTCCCTCAGAGCCTGCTGGCACTCTGGTGTCCATTCAAAATTATTTTTCTTTTTGAGCAGTGTGAAGAAGCGATGACATTTTTTCGACGACCGGGAAATGAACCTGCTCAAAGCTGCTAATCTGCCTGTGAGCCTTTGTACTTCCTTTATGTTCGACAATTGATCCGGGATATCCTCTATGACCTTGATTTTGTCGGGGTTTACCTCAATCCCCCTTTGTGAGACCAGAAATCCTAGAAACTTACCAGAACTGACCCCGAACGCGCACTTCTCGGGATTAAGTTTCATGTTACGCTTCCTTAGGATGCCGAATGTTTCTTGCAAATGCTTAAGGTGGTCACCTGCATTCAAAGACTTAACGAGCATATCGCCTATATAAACTTCTATAGTCTTTCCTATTTGTTTTTCAAACATCTTATTTACGAATCGTTGATAAGTGGATTCGGCGTTTTTCAACCCGAATGGCATCATATTGTAACAATATGTACCAAAATTCGTTATAAACGAAGTCTTTTCCTGATCTTCCGGATTCATCGTGATTTCGTTGTGCCCGGAATAAGCATAGAGAAAACTCATTAACTTGTGCCCGGTCGAGGCATCAATCATTTGATCGATATTTGGCAATGGGAACGAGTCTTTAGGAAACGCTTTATTAAGGTCTTTATAGTCTACACACATGCAAAATTTATTGTTCTTCTTAGGAACTACTACTACATTGGCTAGCCAATCCGGATATCTTACCTCTCGGATTGAACCGATATTAAGCAAGCAGGTTACCTCTTCTTTGACGAATTTATTCCTGGCCTCGTCAATATGGCGTTTCTTTTGTCTTACCGGAGGTACGTTGGTATCCAAACTCATCTTGTGCATGGCTACTTCCGTCGGGATACATGTCATATCCTCGTGCGACCATGCGAAACAATCGATATTAAATTTAAGGAATTCAATAAAACCAGACCTGAGCTCTGGTTGCAGTCTTGTCCCCAAATGAAATTTTCTTTCTAGGAATTCTTCGAACAATGCAACTTGCTCCAGTTCTTCCGCCGTGGACTTCGTTGCGTCCGTCTCTTTTGGAACTTGGAAATATCTCAACACCTGATAATGTTCTAACGGCTCTGCTCCCAGGCTAACTTCTTCTAGCTTGGGAGTAGGTGTCGGTTCCTGTAATTGCTATGCCGTGTGCTCCTTCCCTTTGCTACTGGAAACCGAGATTGCATTCATCTCCCTTGCTGCCGGTTGATCACCTCTTATCTGCTTGATTCCTTCGGGTGTTGGAAACTTCAACAATTATATCCCATGTCATCATCTACTACTTCGAAGAGAGTTGTTTTCATCACTTCCTCAGCATTCATCTCGTGTAACCATGACTTTCCCAGGATAATATTATATCCCATGTCACCATCTACTACTTCAAAGAGAGTTATTTTCATTACTCCCTCAGCGTTTGTGAGCAGCAAAATCTCTCCCGGGGTCGTCACGCTCGCAAGGTTGAATCCCGTAAGGAGCTTTGTTGCCGGAATAATGCTTCTGGTGAGTTTAGCTTGCTCCAATACTCTCCATTGTATGATATTAGCCGAACTTCCTGGATCCACTAGAACACGTTTAATCTTAAAATTCATCACATTTAAAGAAATTACTAGTGTATCGTTGTGTGGTAATAACAATCCGTCTGCGTCCTCCTCCGTGAAAGTGATATCGTCTTCCCGAAATCTTTTACTATGAGTTATTGATACTTTCGTCTTTTTCGCTGTCAAAAAGGTGACCCTGTTAATCTCATTCCCTCCGAAGATCATATTGATCGTTTGGCGTGGGGGTTCTTCTTCTGCTTTCGAAGGTTCCGCGTTGTCTCTGTTACGACCATAATTGTTCTTAGTTCGGTCACTCAAGAATTCTCTGAGGTGACCATTCTTCAATAGTGTTGCCACCTCTTCCCAGAGGTGTCGGCAGTCCCATGTTCGGTGGTCGGTCATTCCGTGGTATTCACACCATAAGTTGGGATCCCTCTGACTGGAATCGGATCTCATAGGTCTCGGGAATCGTGCCTCTTTAATGTTTCTCATGGCTGACACCAACTCCATTATACTGGCGTTGAAGTTATATTCCGATAACTTGGGGTAAGAAGGATCCCGAGACCTCGACATCTCTTTATCCTGAAGTGATCTATTGTTTCGACCACGATCGGTCCCTCTGTTAACGGTGAACTTATTTGCTTCCCGGAAGTTTTTGCCACGGCCTTTGGTCCGCTCGTAAGGCAAAAACTGGCCCCTCGAAGTCCGTTTGTCCGTGTCGTAGTCATCCTTTGATTTTTCTCTGCTCTTCTCCCGTCCTTTGGCCGATGATGTAGAACCGACTTGGTCATCTTCGATCCTTATCTTTGACTCGTACCGATTGTGGACATCTGCCCAAGTTATTGCTTGAACGTCTGAGCTTCTTGGATTCAATCCTTTGGTGAATGCTTCAGCTGCCCATTCATCCGGGACAGAAGAGAGCAACATTCTTTCTTTCTGAAATCGGGTAACGAACTCTCGTAATAATTCGGATTCTCCCTGTGTGATCCTGAATATGTCGGCCTTCCGGACCTGTACTTTTCTGGCCCCGGCATGAGCCTTGATGAAAGAATTTGCGAGCATCTCAAAGGAATCTATGGAATGCTCGGGTAATTAATGAATACCACGTTAGAGCTCCTCTCGTGAGAGTTTCTCCAAATTTCTTTAGCAAAACAAATTCAATTTCGTGAGGAGCTAAATCATTTCCTTTTACCGCCGTTGTGTAGGTGGTAATATGCTCATGTGGGTCTGAAGCCCCATCATACTTTGGCACTTCAGGCATTTTGAACCGCTTTGGGAATAGTTTTGGTGCCGCACTCGGCTTGTATGACAATTGAGTATACTTCTTCGAGTCCGAGCCTTTCAATACTAGTGGCGCGCCCGGGATTTGGTCCATGCGGGCATTTACTTCACTCATAAACCGTAAAAGTTCATTCTTGAACGGGTCATTCTCGTTGTTGAGACCGGATCCGCTCCCCCAGCCCCGTCGGAGCCAATTTCACCCCTGGAAGTATTGTTGTCGACTCTTTGTGTTGTTTGGCTTGCGGGAACACCGGAAGGAATTGGATCTCGTCTGTTTGCATTATTCGAAGCCCCCGATAGCGCCTGCTTCAACTCCATCATAACCTTATCCTGCCGCGTGAGATAGCCTAGAATGATCGCATGTTGCTCTTACAGGACCTCACCGCATCCATGACATGCTCCTCATCAGCATCATCGGGAGTTGTCTTCCGAACCTGTCGAGGGTTCTGCCTATCATGCACCGACGTGACGTCATTCCCCTTATTGTGGGTGTCACTGATTGAATCTTCAAAATGAGGCTGATCCCCCCCGAATTTCAGGGTTGTGTGTGTTGTTAACAGTGTTATCTGCCATTTTTTGTGATTTTTTCTAAGACAAAATAATCAAATCACGTTAGTAAATAAGGCAAGGATCAATATAATTGCACGGTTGTCTAGGCCCCACGGTGGGCACCAAATTGTTTACCCGTAAAACGACACAGTTGAATTTATACGTGATTTCTAGACAAGTGAACTAATGTGATCTTGAAATAATGCGATAATTGAAGAAATGTATAATACTTAGCCTTAATATGTAGATGAAACAACAGAGATTACAGTTCCGGGAACAAGGTTTCAGGGTACAACAATGATGAGATCAAAAAGCGGGAAGGTAAGATT